GGTGAGCTCGGCAAACTGCGGATGGGTGTGCTGGTGCCGCCGTGCAGTGGGTACGAAATGGCCTCAGAGACTGAGCTGAAAGTGGCCAGAAATATCCTCTGCACGGACGGTCATCTAGGGTTGTAGGTGGAGCGCGCGTGCCCACGCACGTAGATGCCCTATGAAGGTGCTGTGATAATTGTATGGGCATTTACCCCTTACAAATTGCATGGGCATGCGATGAGAAAGTGCCTTTTGTTGCTCAATAATACATTCGATGTATTCCCATATTTATGTATCCCTCCATATTCCACTCTTCCACATGACACCCTGCTTCATGTGATAATACTGACATTAAGTGTTCAGTATTACACATTTCGTTATTATAGGCCTCTGCATACACAGAAAGCGGATGTACAGTGCCACAGTATGATGTGTCTGTTAACGCCTCACGGGTCGTCTTAGCGGTACGTTATTACAGCTGCGGCACTCGCGGCGTGGCGCCGCCGGCCACACACTCAGTCTGGCCGCGTCTCCGACAGACGGCGCTGCTGGCGGACGTGGACCTGGACCAGCAGCTGGAGCTGGTGGTGGCGCTGACAGACCGGGTCGTCCGCGTGTACCGCTGGACGGACGGCACGCTGCGTGCCATCAGCAAGTGCGAACTCATGCAGCAGGTGCGACGCGCGGGCGGCGGCCGCAGCGCTGCACCCCAGAGGTCTGACTGCATCAGCCAAGGCAACCCAATCCCCATCCTCAGCAGGGATCAGGAACGCCATTTTTCTGTGATGGTCAGCGACAACCATGATAACTGTGGTTCACGGCTTTTTCTACCAGACGCCAGATCGCACGACACGTGCACGTGCAGTCCGCCGGACGTGTAAGCGCCTTCACACCTGGGTGTTTGTACATACATTGTGTATATTGTTTTTAGACAATACCTTGCAACAAAGGGTATCTGCTGAAGACCCGTGCATCCGGGAAGTGAACCTGTCCACGCAGCAGCAAAGTCCATCGATACGATTGACAGCTAAACTTGACTGGCGCCGGTGCCGACTCACCCAGTCACCAGGGCTGGACGGATTCAGCCCGCCGTCGTCGCGGTACAGTCTGCTGACGTCTGTCTGCTGACGTCTGTCTGCGCCACCTCGGTCCGACCGAGCGACCGTTCCGAGCGCGCTCCGACGCCACGTGTGCGCTCTGCCCGGCAGATCGGCACCATCTCGCTGAACATAGAGGGCGACGGCCGGCCGTCAGTGCTCGTCTCGCAGCCCGGCGCCGCCGTGGTGCGGCTCCGTTACCGCTCTTCGCTGGACGAGGACGGACAGTACGCTCCCTACCCACCCTCCCCGGCGCCGCCGTGGTGCGGCTCCGTTACCGCTCTTCGCTGGACGAGGACGGACAGTACGCTCCCCACCCACGCTCCCCGGCGCCGCCGTGGTGCGGCTCCGTTACTGCTCTTCGCTGGACGAAGACGGACAGTACGCTCCCTACCCACCCTCCCCGGCGCCGCCGTGGTGTGGCTCCGTTACCGCTCTTCGCTGGTCGAGGATAGACAGCACGCTCCCTACCCACCCTCCTCGGCGCCGCCGTGGTGCGGCTCCGTTACCGCTCTTCGCTGGACAAGGACGGACAGTACGCTCCCTCACCCACCCTCTCCGGTGCCGCTGTGGTGCGGCTACGCTATCGCTTTGACCGGTGATTGGTGCCGGTTAGAGCGGAAAAAGTGGAACTGATTTCTCATAAAGTCATCTTTTGTCCGTCGGCTGGTACAGAACGGGCTTATTGCCACAAATGACATTCACCTCAAAAACGCTTATTCTATCACCCACAGGGCTGTTATCTAAGCAGTGGTTCCCTTTTTCATCTGACCGAACAGTGACTAGGAGGGTGCATGCTAGCATCTGGCGGCCCACGCCCTCGTATGGTGGCACCTAGCTGCCTTCCGTTCGCTTCAGGACGCCGCGCTACTGTGCCACAGAGGGCGTCATGCTGTGGACATTGAGCGTACCGCGCTGCTGTGTTGCAGCGAGTGCCACTCTGTGGACATTGACGACGTTAGCCTAGCGGTGAAGACGCGTCAAAACGTGTCGTGCGAGGTGCTGGGTGGACTGAGAGATCAGCCCGCCTCCAACACGTACGCCCTCATCACCATGGACGGCAGCCTCTTCTACGTCAAGGACAACGCCGTCGAGTGGTGAGGTCACTTGACATGACCTGTCTACAGTGTGAGAGCCGAGCGCCATCAGCAGCTGTGTCCGCCCGCCCGCCTTTCGTGGGTTGGTCAGCTGTAATGCTGGACCATTTGTGTGCACAGCGCCCCTCGCAAATGCACTTCACAGCTTACGTAATTAATGTGGATAAGATTGTATTAAGAAACGATTCGTGATTGAAATGAGGTGAAGGGAGGTGCTCTTTCGGAGTTTGGGAAGACCTGCGCTTTGAACCATGAGCAACCAGCCGCGATTGACGTACTAAATGTTGTATTACTTTAAGATTGGAATGATCAAAATGTGTGAACATCAGATCATGCACAGTGTGTGTGGCTCTCGAATTGTGGTGGATGTGTCCATGCCTCGCTGCACATCGTACACTTGCATTTTGGAAGTTGGGAGTCAAGCGAATTGCGCGCCAACCGCTACCGTGACTAACGCCATTTGGACTCCTCCAGTCTAAAAATTTGCACGAATCGATGTGTGTACCAAAGCCCCTTTTGAAGACGTGCGAACGCACGCGTGCAATCGTATGATAGTTCATAACTTGTATTGCAAGATGGCAGAACAATATGGAACCAGAAGCTGCTTTTCAGAATGGCGCTAGCTAACTTGTATTGGCCTGTTTGTTTCAAAGCGGGCGACGCGTTGGTTCTCCTGCAATTATGGATAGTACTTCTGCAGTTCAAGTTAGTAGTTGTTATGCTGACTTATGTTCTGCAGTATGTTAGGAAATGCTGGTTTACAACGATATTAGGCAAGTATGGATTAGTTTGAGAAGGCTGGCACGAGCAGTGCTCCTGGCCACAAATGCGAATGCCTTTTACAATATGCGTTATGGCGTGTGCCTGATGTTTAGGCACCAGCGCACAGTCTCTGGCTGTTTCACCTGCACACATGGGCGCATTTGCCTGATGTTTAGGCACCAGCGCACTGTCTCTGGCTGTTTTACCCGCACACATGGGCGCAGCCAGCTGACATTGCCCGGACCCGACCGCCGGCCAGGTCCGTGGTGCTTCATCACCAGCTGTTCGGCCTGACCAAGATGGACGTGACTTCGGACGGCAGTGACGAGCTGATCGTGTCATCGTGGGACGGCCACACGTTCATCATCAACCAGGTCGGTGGGCTCGGAGCCTGCCACCGCGCCCTCGTGGCTATGTCCGTCTCCGTCACTGGCCCATCTGGCCTTTAAGCCGGAGTTCACCGACTGATGCACTGTGGCTTGTATGGGCACGGAGTTCATCCAGTTCTCCTTCACCTATGTGGTTCAAAATCGCGTTTTTTACTGTGTTGGACTAAGGCCTGCCCCCTTGACCGGTCCACCGTTGTTGCCGTCCTGTCCTGCCCACCGATCTGCTATTGTTGGCGTCTAACCCTGCTGACCGATCCGCCGTGGCTGGTGTCCTGTCCTGCTGACCGATCCGCCGTGGCTGGTGTCCCGTCCTGCTGACCGATCCGCCGTGGCTGGTGTCCCGTCCTGCTGACCGATCCGCCGTGGCTGGTGTCCTGTTCTGCTTACCGACCCACCTCGGCTAGTGTCCTGCCCTGCTGATTGGTCTGTCACGGCTGGCGGCAGGAGAAGCAGTCGGTACAGTTCCTGTTCGAGGAGGCCGTCACGGCGTTTGCCGCCGGTCAGTTCGGTGCGCGCACCGGCTCCAACGTGCCATGCATGGTGTACGCGACAGTCGGTAAGGTGGTCGTCTATCACAACGTGCGACTGCCGGTGATGGTGACCGAGACGCTGACGGATGTGGTGGCGCACGAGCACGGCTGGCCGGGGGCCGAGCGTCTGACGGCCTGTCAGCTGCAGCAGCTGTACCGCTGGTGCCTGTACGGCTTCCCGCGGCCGCAGCTGGAGGCGGCCGAGTGTGACACGCCGCAGCCGCCGCAGGACGACGCCCACCCGGAGCAGAGCGACGGCGCGGCCGGCGGCGCCAGGGGAGGCGACGCACAGATCGAGGAGGAAGGGTGGCACAGGGCCGAGTGTGATGCGCCCGGGCGGCGGACGAACGCGAGCGACGCCGCTTGACCCGCGCCGCACTCATGACATCTGACATGACCGTGTGGCAAGTCGCTACGACGGGGTGGTACGAGCGACACGGGGTGTCGCGTATTAGCTGCCAGGTAATCGCTGCCACCTGACGGAACCACCAGGTGGCGCCAGCACGCCGCCGTGGCGGGGAAACGGGAGGCGACGCCCCGGAGGCGAGGCGAATCGGAGTGCGTTCTGCGCAGCAGGTCGGACTTATAAAACAGCCATCATGGCGTAACGCGAGCTGATCTGTGTAGCAGGACGTCGTCCAGATCAGGCGCCTAAACCCACTGACGGGGCGCGAATCACGCGTGTAGTCGAAACCTCCAGCCGAGCGTTGAGCTAGAGCCATTTCTATGAGATCCAGCAGTCGGACCAGTTTAGGAAGTCAACTAGCTGTGTTCTTCCCAGATACGGGTCAGTCTGCAATATTTTGGGCGCCGTTGGAAGATGTGCCACGATGAACACAGTCGGTGTTGATTCGCTGGTGAGCTTTGTTTCGCCCCTTACAGTTTTGGATGTCGAATGGGTGATGAGGATTGAAGTCAGCGTGTCAGCGAATGCAATGGTTCATGCATGGGTGAAATATAAATATGAACTGGCTTCTGCCCTAGCGACTGAGTTCGAGTAGATCCGGAAGAAGTATGCCGTGTACCAGGGAAGACCTCCCGATGTCTGGACATGGCCGCCGCTGGCTGGGCGTTGACATCCCAGCTGTAACCGCAAGGTCCCGGCTTCTGGGTCCCATCACACAATGGGGGCATGAAACGTAATTGGTGGCTTTGGTATATTGTATCTTACCAATCAAAACATATGGAATTACTTGTTGATCAATTTCAAGTGTGGCACTCGACAGAAAGCGAAGTTCCTGGCATCACCCCTGAAGTGTATGTCGATGGATAGGCATCTCCACAGATACATTATACCACATGGCTTCATAACGTTACACTTATGAACACACTTTAACATACGCTGAGGGCGGGGTCAATGTAAATTTTCCCTCGTGCTGGAAGTCGTATCAGTAACCTGCTGCAAGTTGTAACAGTCATCTCATGCTGCGTGTTGTAACAGTCCCCTTATGCTGCGCGTAGTAAGTCCCCTCGTTCTACATGATGCAAGTCATCTCATGCCGCAAGTCCACAACACACCTTGAGTTCGTGGCTACAGGGCGACAGAAAACAACGCGCGGGCAAGAGCCCAAAATCACTCCGCGGAAACACCATGAAAAACAATCGGCGATGAACCGCCGACTGCGTAAAAATTGTACCGACGCTACGAGCTACGAGCCCTGCCTAGGACCGGTCACATCTGCGATGACCAGCGGCGGCTGTGGGTCACACGGCCAGCGGCCTCTCCGCTGGTCCCGTGGGGGACTGGCCATCCGTCCGCCACGGAACGACTGCCCAGCTCTCAGCACAGCTCACATCCGGATCACGGGGTGGCGCCGCTCCTCCAGGGTGATGTTCCATGTCACCACGTCCAGGCTCGTCTCCAGAATCTGGCGATGTGGCGGGGCTATGTCACTGCAGCGCGGCGCTGAGACACGTCTGCCTGTGTGTGTGTGTGTGTGCGTGTGCGTGTGCGTGTGCGCGTGCGCGTGCGCGTGCGCGTGCGCGTGCGCGTGCGCGTGCGCGTGCGCGTGCGTGTGTGTGTGTGTGTGTGTGTGTGTGTGTGGGCGGGGACGACACGGCACATGCGTCAAATACAATATTCTCCCAAGGCTCTCAATCGTGACAGAAACGCGCCAATAGCTGGAAATAACAAATTGCTTCCCACAAACAGGAGCATATTGCAAACAGGCATTTCTCCCTCATTGCCAATATTATCTTGGGTATCGCAAAATTATCCGGTATAAGCATATATATATATATATATATATATATATATATATATATATATATATATATATATATATATTAGAAATACATTATGGTCTTGCCCCACGCGGCCGCCTACAGCTCATTTTTTTGGCCGGCATGGTACTGATTAACTCCAGCAGGTAACAACTCTTAACTAAGGTACACGTTTGAGTGCCTATTTTGCACTCACATTGTTCTCACAGCTACTTGCGACGCCCAGGTCCGCGCTGAGTTCTGGGAGACTAGCCGGTGTTAAGTATAGCACCCGGTCTATCAAAAACGGAAACACAAATGGGCAAAAAACGTGAAATCGTGCTGCTCATGAACAATCTCCATAGTCACCTACATTTGCGAATGAGGTTCGCACCAGCTTACTACCTGGGCCTTAACCTACATGCAGGATACATGGGTAAGGACGTTGCCCGGATACCGACCTTCCTGGTGTCACGGGGGCGGATAACGCCGTCGATGAGCACCCGCGAGGCGTAAAACAGGCTCGAGTCTCTGTCCAGCTGCACCAGCGGCGGCGGCCCGGTCTTGGCCTTGCCCGTGGCTGCCGCCGGCGGCGGCGGCGGCGGCGGCGGCGGCGGCGGAGCGGCGGACGCCGCCGACGGCTCCGCGCCAGCTGTCATCGCCGGTCCCGAGAACTTGGCGCGTGGCCAGGCGAAGTAGAAGTTCGGCTCAAACGCTACGCCGCACTGCAGCACGGGCAGAGACTGTGACACACCGACCGACGGGCCGCTGCCCCCAAACCCCGGGCTGGTCACAGGCCGTGTCCGGGGCAGGACGCACCCTACTCAGGGGCTCACCGCCCGCGTCACCCGTACAGGGGACGTAGAGCTGAGCTGGTAGCTAGTGGATTGTACCTATCACTCGTCCACCGAAAACCCCCGGCTATCCTCATGTTCAGCAGTCATACGACAGTTAGTGAACGTACGATTGCGTGGACGCTGAGTGTGGACGCAAGGGCGGCGCAGGGGCCTTACCATGGTCAGGTGCTGGTCGGCGCAGGGGCCTTACCATGGTCAGGTGCTGGTCGCCGTGACAGCCCGTGAGGTTGACGCTGATTCGAGGCACTCTGGTGGTGGCCAGCACGGCGGCCGCTCGGCTGCGACACTTCAGGACCTCAGGATCTGAGCAGTCCGCCGCTGCCGACCCAAACGAGGAGCTCACTAAATGGCCAGATCATATAGTGACACAAGGCAGACTCGACGGCTTTATGGTCCCTGCACCGTAAGGCATGGCACATAACAAGACTTCTCAGTACTGGAACCATATCCCTGTGCATAGCGGGATATTATTCATATGTATTTCAGGGACGGAGGCTCAGACATAATCAAATGACGTCACCATGTTGACGCTTTTCGTCCGTGCATGCCAGGGCAACATCCATGAGTTTGAACATGGACATGACGTCGGCCTGAACATGTCAACCATACGCCGTTGATGTCTGTATCGCTACGCCGGCCATTGGGGACTTCGGAGCCATTGCACCTGCGTCAGCTGGCGAGTTTTGCAGATAGATAAGGGGAATGCCACGCTGGTCGCAGAGCTCCACCAGATGCGCCATTTTCAGGGCGTCGCGTGACGTCACCGTCCCGTGGTTGGCCACCACGCCAACCAGCCGCCTGCGCAGGAACGGGCAAAACTGAACCGCGACAAGCCACCGGGATAAACATTCATAACCCTCATTAATGGATGAATTCAGGGTTTTGGCGATCTGCAGCTCTATATCCAGAGAAATCTGTTTACAATCATTATGTAAAATATATCCTTATAGCCTACATATCCTTTAACATGAATGTCCATAAACCCTATTACAATGTACCATGTGTTCATATATATAATATGTAAATTTAAAGGGGCAATTACACGGCACATCGGAAATAACAACTTCGTTGATTTGGCACTTCTTTAAGAGTACCACAAAACGTACCCGTTAAGCTTTCCGAAACCAGTGATGACGCTCTTGCCGTAGGTAGCTTTGAATTCTCGAAAGCGACTTCCGTCTAGGATGGTCCCTAAGACGTATCGCACTTCCGAGTGCGAAAGATGGTCCAGGCCTGAGAGCGCTTAAACAGCCAGAAAATCAATCGGATTAGCTCACACTCCAAAGACACAAAGACCGGCGAGACGCATACAGCGGTACAGTACGGCGAGCGCTTCGCTGGCTGTACAGCGACACAGTGCGGCAAGCGCTCCGCCGGCTGCACAGCGGCACAGTACGGCGAGCGCTTCGCTGGCTGCACAGCGGCACGGTACGGCGAGCGCTCCGCCGGCTGCACAGCGGCACAGTACGGCGAGCACTTCGCTGGCTGCACAGCGGCACGGTACGGCGAGCGCTCCGCCGGCTGCACAGCGGCACAGTACGGCGAGCGCTTCGCTGGCTGTACAGCGGCACAGCGCGGCGAGCGCTCCGCTGGCTGCACAGCCTGCGGTTCACATATACACATCACATATACATGTGACAGAAGCACAGTGTGACGATGTGTGCGATCGTCACGGTACATGTGCGAGTGAGGGACGAGTGTTCTCGGTCTCGTATCTTGACGAAGGCGCTATAAGCGTCACCGACATCGTGCGTGTTATACTAACAGCTCGTCACACAACACATCTTATTTGCTATTATTTTGTTCAACAAATTCCAATTAGGGGGGCCTGCTGTCAGAACAAATTCATCGGAATTGCGCGCACGCAGAAAACATGCTGCGTTATTGAAACATGCGTCGGAAGTTGCAACATGTTCCCCTGAATTATACAGCATCATTTATTTTGTTAGGGATTTCTCCTCATGCAGTTATTATGTAGTGCTTGGCCTCTTCATTTGGCCCGATACGAGAGCAGTCCGATGGCGCTTTTCTCTTGGCAACGATTTAGCCAACAGAGTTACCTCCGAAGACAACGTAAAAGTAGCAATATCCTCGAGATCTCGTGACGTTTCGCTCGTTACAACAAATACGTGCTGCACTAAATTCTCTTGAATAATATATGTTACTATTGCTCACGCTACTGCGTCGTGCGGCCGCGCGGGCGCGGCCTGGTCAGCGGCTAACCGGCGCGGCCGGCCGTGTTTATGCCTCCGGGCCATTGTCCACGTGACCTGGCCGAAGTCACGTGTGCGGACCGGAGCGGCCGCAGACTAGAGGTAGGGACGGCCGGTTGAGGTCGGGGGTTAAATCTGTCCTGCGCAAGTGCTGGGTGTTGTTGCGTATTTAATATCCGAATCGTGATTCAAATACATATAATACAAATACATCTCGTCCATAACTGTATTACTCACAGGTCTTTGCTGCATGTTTGGATAGCTCTTTGAAGGAGTACTATATACATATCTGTAAAAGGCAATCTAAAACAGCAGAGCCAGATCAAAGCAAATCCCTTGTTCTGCGCTCGGAAAGCGCAGGAGTCCTGGCGCACACTGCCACTGAGCTGCGTAGCTCACTTCTCAGGCTGCAATAGGCAGGCGATCCTCATCGGGCCGCGCCACTTACTGTCCAGGCCGGCAGACGGCAGGAGCGGCGGCTCGTGTTGGCTCGCCTCGGCCGGAGGCAGGTTGAGCGAGTCGATGACGTCACGCGTCGTGCTGAGCGCCTCCTCCTCGTCCGCGGCAAACATGTCGCAGCAGCCGGACACGCTGCAGTGCAGTGTGGCGCCACCTGCGCACCGCAGAGCCAATCACGCAGAGCAGGGACGGACGGCTACCGAGGCGTCACAGACCCATGATGAGCGAGACGACGATGTCACAGAGCAGCCACAGACGGACAGGGACCAGTGAGCGCGCGCGCTTCGACGGAGTCCGGTGGGGGTCGATAGTGACGGCCAAGAAACACGCCAAATCGTTAACAGTGGGGAGAGTCAACAAAAACGCCTTTATATCAATTGAAGTACTACCTCTTATCATTCACGCACAGATAATCTCAATGATTCAGTTGAAGTTCAAAAACTCATGGTTCAATAACATAATGGCTGATAAGCAAAACATTGCCACCGCTCGAGATGTGGTGAGCACAGCCACACACAAACCCTTTGATCCCCAGTGTAGCGGAGCTCAGTTGGGGTATCTCATTTCAATAAGCAGGGAGACCAGGGAGACATGGGGGACCTGAGCAGGAGGACCTGGCTCTGGTGAGCGCGGGCACTGACCGAGCTGCTCCTCGGTGACCTGTTCGCCAGTGGCGGCACGCACCAGCGGCGGTCCTCCCAGAAATAGCGTACCGATCCGGTCCACCATCACAGCCTCGTCAGACATGGTCGGTGCGTACGCACCTGCCGCACCACCGGCCGCGTGCCGGTCAAGAGGACAGCTCTGGCTACAATCAAGCGTCCGCCATGAGAAGCTGGTTTGAAGTGTGAAAAAACAGGTGCAAACAAAGGGAAATTCATTGCAACTTATGAGACCAACACACAAGACACATCTTCATACAAAAGGAACAGGAACAGGAGAGAAACAAAGTTATGCTTAATGTATGGCATAGCTTAAATACTGTGTGTACCACATACCATAAACGTAACAGGAGCCATTGCGAATAATGCTTATGACATGGACCTTATTCAACATAGCTTAACAAAATTTAGGTAAGGTCATGTTTCCAAAATGCTTCCATACCACAAAAGCCAGAAATTAACAGATGTCGGATTGAAGCACGTCAGTTCCAATCACCTCCCACAGAAATGCAGACAAACACAGAGTGTGGAAATAACTACTGCTGATGGGCGGTTACCTCCCCCAATGTCATTAGGACCGAAGTACCATGTAAATTCCAGGCGCGCACACATTGAGCGCAGTGAGGACGGCACCCACGCTCGGTACACCAGCGCCACGGCTGGAGGCGCTCGAGACTGACCGCCGGCGGTGCAGCTGCCGCAGACGACCGCCACCTGCGGGATCCCGTCGGCCGAGAGCACCGCCTGGTTGCGGAAGCTGCGGCCGCCGTGCTGCTTGTCCGGAAACAGCTGGCTCTGCAGCGGCAGAAAGCCACCGCCGCTGTCCACCAGACAGATGGACGGCAGCCGGCTGGCCGCAGAGATCTGCCGGATAGGCGAGGTGAGCGCCCGGCCGGGGAGGCAGACGGCTCGCGCCGGCCGACAGGCCCCGGACAGAGGCCGGCACAGGCGTCGCTGACAGCCACTGCCTCGTATGGGAGCGTCTCGTCTCGTGCCTGGCCTCGCCTCTGCGGCTGCTGACCGTCCCCACACCCCTATCGTACTCCAGTGGTCTGACTGTTCGAACATAAGACGCAGCACAGGTCTGTGACGTCATAGCAAAACTGGAACTCGGCGGCGCCCAGCATATGGCCAGGCCCAGCGCCGGGGAGAGGCCCCGCCGCTCGGTCGGGGCTACAGCTCACCACGTCGCATCAGTCTGCGGTGGCGCCGGAGAGCGGGCCCCTCGATACACACGAAACAACCCGTGCTCTATTCTCAACCGCACATTACAGAACGGTCTGCGGCGGTGGCGCCGGAGACCGGCCCCTCGATACACACTAAATACCTTTGCTCTAGTTCTCAACCGCGCATTACAGAACGGTCTGCGGCGGCGCGGGAAACTGACCCCTCGCGACACCGCAATATCCGTGCTGTAGTTCTTAACTGCATGTTGCAGAACCAAACACATTGCAGTGCTGGAGCACCTTCCTGAATGATGGTCGTTATTGCATAAGATGCACATGAGCAGTGCACTGTAGGGAAACTGCCAGCTTTCTTATGACTAGCAGATGTGTGGTGATAATTTGTACCTACCTGCTGTGCCCGCAGTGACTTTGTGACTGTTATGGGGAAGTAGGTGCCTCCCTTCACAGTCCCATCATTGGCGTTGATCACGCAGTACCGCCCCTTCACCTTGGCAATGACTGCAAGCAGCATCATTGAATGCACAAATACAAAGAAATGGTACTTTTATGCAGTGACAATGAGCATCAGGTAGAAGCTCTATCAAATATATCAAATATATCAAATATATCAAAATAGACCTTATCAGCAATACCTTACAAGATTGATTTCAGCCCCATCATGTCTGGATGAATGTACATAATGCTTGTAAAACATGTCATGCAATTGCTTACCATCATTTCAATCAATGCCCACACACCTGCTTAACAAAGAATATCCCAAACAATATGAAAAGATGATGTCACATCAAGAAAATGTCTAAGGCCAGACTTAATCAAAATTGCCCTAAAATCAGGCTACCAGAAGTAATAGCCATTGGCATTACAAGCTCAGTTAGTGGCTTACTCTAAATTCCTCTATAACACCAGTTTATGAATAGGATTAGTCACTCTATTTTTTGCCATGATAGTCTGTTTTTTAGAGGCACTGACTATTCTGACCAAATGGTGCCATCTTACCACAAACTGCACCCCCATAGGGTACATCTCCATACTCCAGGGAGAGGCCAGCCAGAGGAGCGAGGTTGATCAGCTCTGTATTGGGATCCACTAAACGGGCAATCCTGTCCCATACAAGCATCTTCTTGTTGAGCTGAGTGTGGCGTTGTCTGGCCTTCTCTCCACCTGAACAAAAGAGGCTGAAGATGTAAACAAGTCAAAAAAGTTTGAATCATTTAACTTAAAGTATAAATGTCTTAAAAATATGTAGTGATGTCAGCACAACCACAGATTTTCCACCTTTGGTCATTGGAGAACCAATGCATAACTGGTTCTAAAGTAGGACATCCAAGACCAAAGTGTCTTGGTTCTGTGCCATTGGTCCTCATTTGTCAATGTGTCCAGTCCACATTGAATACCATAAGAAAAAATACATCAATTTTTATGAAATGCATTTTATCAGAAGGGACAAGTCTGCGATTGTAAATTGGCACGTTTAACTCAACACCACAATGTTTACAAGCAAGCACCAACCTCCATTTGCAAGCACTGTCATGATCTTGTCAAGTTGCTCAATGGACTTCAAGCCTGTTGCTGCAGCCTGCTGATATGCCTGATCAG